CTTTTTCATTTTTCCAATAAGAGTAATGATGATGCACACAGTTTTATGACTACAAATCCAATTCTCTACATTAAATGCATGTATTTGTTAAATCTTTTCTTTTATTTGATTAGACATAAAGATTGCCTTGAGCCACCCATTTCTTTTTCTCGATTCTCGAAAACATAAAGCATGCATTTTTCAAGCTTTTCCTTTTTCATTTTTCCAAGAAGAGTAATGATGATGCACGCGGTTTTATGACTAAAAATCCAACTCTCTACATTAAATGTATATATTTATTAAATCTTTCTTTTATTCGATTAGAAATAAAGTTTGCTTTGAACCGCGCATTTCTTTTACTCGATTCTCAAAAACATAAAGCATGCATTTTTCAAGCTTTTCCTTTTTAATTTTTCCAAGAAGAGTAATGATGAAGCACGCAGTTTTATGACTATAAATCCAATTCTCCATATTAAATGCATGTATTTGTTAAATCTTTTCTTTTATTTGATTAGACATAAAGTTTGCCTTAGCCACGCATTTCTTTTTCTCGATTTTCAAAAACATAAAGCATGCATTTTCAAGCTTTTGCTTTTTCGTTTTTTCCATAAAGAATAATGATGAAGCATGCGGTTTTATTTCTACACATCCAACTATCCACATTAAATGCATATATGTGTTAAATCTTTTCTTTTATGAGATTAGACATAAAGATTGCCCTGATTCACACATTTCTTTTTCTCAATTCTCGAAAATACAAAGCATGTATCACCACGAAAACTCCACATTAAATACAAATAAACTTAAAAGACCAAATCAATATTAAACCTGAACTCTACTTTCACCCATCACCATAGGAAAAGTTATCTTCTTTTAGTGATGGTGATCTGCAACGCCATATAGATAAACACTGTAACACCCCAACTCGAATAACCCGATTACCTAGATTATTTGAGCCGGAGTAGTTACCCCGATGGTAATTACACATGATAATTTTAAGAATAATTTAAAACCAATTAAAAATTTAATATAAATGATAAATTCAAATATTAAATTCTGAGTAATGTTGAAACAGTGCGGAAGCTTAAATATAAAATATATTTAAGTCATATTACATTTTATGGGAACTTGCCCGAAAAGGTAATTTATTTAAATAAAGCATCATAAATGCGGTCCACCAGTCCGTACATCTCATCACTCTCATTGACCTCTGGGATGGGCTCCATGATCAGTATTGTTACCTGCGTGTAGCAAGTAAAACAAACTACACGCTCAGCGTCAGCTAAGGAATACGCTAATACAATAATTCCAAGTTGAATAGCAAGTAGACATACAATTATTCATGATATGGCATAATATAACATGTATGTTCAAGATGATGATAATGATACGTAATTGATGTCATACATGGTCATAATGATTGTACTTGATGATGATTTCATCATGTATGATTCTAACCCACAAGGAACGACCTTGCCCTATGAGATTCGCCCATTTGGTACGACGAACTCATGCCACCTTAGTCTCACAAGGGAGACTAGAAAAGTAGGGGTGGTACTCGAAAGCCTGAATATCATGTACGTACACTAAGCCCGGTTTGTGATGTCAGACTGCTAAGTCCCGCACAATCACACTATAAGAGACGCAATAGGCATGATCTCTTACGCATGCATATGATATATGATATGCTTCAAAATGGATGATAGATGAATCATATGATATGAACAATTTATAAACAATATGAATATGTAATCATACATTAATTTATTTGGGTGAAACATGGTAAAAACATCATTTAAATAAGCTAAGGGGCTCGGAACGGTCGACCGTTTGGCGCGACGGTCGACCTTGAACTTCATCGTGTCGAATTGTTGGTTTACCGTGACGGTCAACCGCGGTTGACCGGCGGTCGACCATTGTTGACTAGATGGCGACGGAGGTTCTCGGCTGGGCAGGCGACGGTCGACCGTTGGTCACCGGCGGTCAACCGTTTGTCTCACAATCACGCTTCATTTCGATGTTTATCGCGACGGTTGACCGTTTACGTCGACCGTTCGGGTCTGCGAATCTTATTTTTGATATTTTTGGATATCTAAAATACTTCTTTGAGTTATTTTAACATCTATGATTAACATATCTATGTATTTGAAGTATTTCTAACACTTATATATTCATGAAGGGAAAAGTATTAAGAAAAACATATTTTAAGTTTATGAGTTTGATGGGTTTGATCTTAAAGCATAAATGACTAATAATATGGCAATCAATCCTAATGATATATCTAGATTGATATTCAAGCAATGATTGCGTTACTAGGGTGCAATGTACTCGCCTTGATATCGTAGAGGTCGGAAAGATAGAAATATAATAATACGCCTCAACGAACATTCAACGTACGGTCACCCCTATCAACTTCGAGCTTCCAACGCCCAATCTTCTTGAAAATAACCTCCGGAAGTTCATAATAACCATGAGAGAGTTGACGGTAAGTATTTGGAAAGAAACGATGTGAAAATGATGAAGAAACATAGCCAACCCGAGGAGCTCTCCACCACTAGAGCAGTCCCGGTATTTTGGCCATATCTCCTTCGTTACTTAACGAAATCACGAACTATTTGTTGGGTTGGATTCGTAACGTCCGGCGCTACCATTTTGGGATAATAAATAATTCGAGAAAATGAATAGAAAATTACAGAATTTACGAAGAAGTTGTTGCTGCGTTTGAACTCAGGAGTTTTGGACTTGAACACCTCTTCTTGTTTCTCCTTCTTCTTCCTTTGGTATAATATGGAGTTGAGACCTCTTTTCTCTTTCCTTGAAGTCTGGCCGACAGAGAGAGAGAGATGGAGAGGAATTATGAGTGATGTGTTGAGAATAATGGTGATGATTAAGATCAATTTAGAATGATATATAGGAAATATTGGAATTATTAGGTAGTGGAGGAGTTAGTGGTTTGGGTGGCTAATTGAAGATTTGAGGGGAGAAATGGGCTGCGTGATTGATAGACTTTTGGGGAATTAAAAATATTCTCCCACTCCGTAATTGATAAACAGGCTAAAACGATACGCGCTTTTTCATCCAAACTGTTCCGAATTGAGAACGGATCGCATATTTGGAATCAGACTGTCAAAACTAAAATTTTGATATAATTATATTTTTCTGAAAACTTTTATTTTTCAGTGTTTGGGTCTGTCTCAGTCGTTAATTAATATTTTAAATTAATTAATTCTTTTAGGCCTAATTTTGGGGCGTTACATTTCTCTCTCCCTTAAAATAATTTCGTCCTCGAAATTACCTGATCACTGGTCGCTAAAGAGTTGTGGATATTGAGATCGCATGGACTCTTCAGTTTCCCAGGTTGCTTCTTCGACAGAGTGACTTCTCCAAAGCACCTTGACTAAGGGTACAGTTTTGTTCCTTAATAATCGAACTTCTCGTGCAAGAATCTCTACAGGTTCCTCTTCATAGGAAAAATTCTCATCTAGAGTGACTGTCTCTGTTGGAATAACGTGAGATGGATCTGATCTGTATCTCCTCAACATCGATACATGGAAAACATCGTGAATTTTGTTTAGTTCTGGTGGTAACTCCAATCGTAGGCTACAGGTCCCACACGTTCTGAAACTTTGTATGGGCCTATAAACCTCAGACTGAGTTTCCCCTTTTTGCCAAAGCGTAAAACTTTCTTCCAAGGAGAAACTTTCAAGAATACCCTGTCACCAATAGCATATTCGATATCGCGTTGCTTGAGGTCTGCATAAGATTTCTGTCTGTCTGCTGCTATCTGAAGTCGTTCTCTGATCAACTGAACTTTCTCCTCTATTTCGCGCACTAGTTTTGGACCTTCGAGTTTTCTCTCACTCAATTCAGTCCAACAAACTGGTGTTTGACATTTCCTTCCGTACAATGCCTCATACGTAGCCATTTCAATACTTGCCTGATAACTATTGTTATAGGCAAATTCCATCAGAGAAAGATATTTTTCCCAATTGTTTCAAAAATCAATGATGCACGCTCGCATCATATCTTCAAGAATCTGAATAGTCCTCTCAGACTGTCCGTCAGTCTGAGGATGAAAAGTTGTACTGAAATGTAGTTTGGAACCGAGAGCTTTCTGTAAGCTCTTCCAAAATTGGGAAGTAAATCGAGGATCGAGGTCTCAAATGATGGACGATGGTACTCCATGTAGTCTGACAATCTCGCAGATATACAACTCAGCCAGACGTTGTAGTGTAAAATCTCGCCGAATTGGTAAGAAATGTGCCGATTTTGTCAAACGATCAACAATAACCCATACTGCATCATTTTTCCTTGGGGACAATGGTAATCCGACTACGAAATCCATCGTAATGCGGTCCCATTTCCACTCAGGAATAGTGATCTGCTGCAAAAGTCCTGTAGGTACCTGATGTTCGGCTTTGACTTGCTGACAAGTCATACACCTCGATGTGAATTCAGTAATCTCCCTTTTCATAGCTGACCACCAATAGTGTCTCTTCAGATCTTGGAACATTTTGTTACTTCTGGGATGCATGGTATACACGGTTCCGTAGGTCATGGAGCCCATCCCGGAGGTCAATGAGAGTGACGAGATGTACGGACTGGTGGACCATATTTATGATGCTTTAATTAAATAAATACCTTTTCGGGCGAGTTCCCAGAAAATGTAAAATAATTTGATTATGTTTTATATTTAAGCTTCCGCACTATTACAACCTTACTCTGAATTTTATATTTGAAATTATCATTTATATTAAACTTTAAATTGGTTTTAAATTATTCCTCAAATTATCATGCGTATTTATCATCATGGTAACTACTCCGGCTCAAATAATCTAGGTAATTGGGTTATTCGAGTTGGGGTGTTACATTTTGGTATCAGAGCATTCGATTTAAAAAAATGATTTTGGAAATCAAATCAAAAGAGTTTTAAACACAAGTCCGCATCTCTCCACATCTCTGCCCGGGAAGGTAAAACAATTAGTTTACTTTTGACTAATTACATTTTAAATTAATTATAGAATGAGTCAGGACTCGACTCACGGTCAGGCAAACCCTCACGCGGAGCCTGAGCACGTTAGTGTGCATACGGTGCACATTGAAGCATCCAGTTACGTGCCCCAGCAGCCGCAGCCTCAGCCGGAACCTCAGCCAGTTCTAGAGCAGTTCGCGGGTCAGAACCCGAATTTAGCCATTCCGATGTTCCAACCACAAATGGTTGCGAACATGTTCCAGTTCTTCCAGCAGATGGCAAGAGCGCACGTACCACCACCACCTCCTCCTTCTGCACCCATTGTCTCGATTGAAAAACTCAAGAGGAATGGGGCGCAGGAATTCTGTGGCGACCAGATAGCGGACCCTCAAATAGCCAAGCGTTGTCAAGAACGCACGGTGAGGGTACTGGAGAATTTGAAGGTACCTGTCGAGGATTGGGGACAGCATGCCATATCCCTATTGCAAGATGCCGCCTATGATTGGTGGAAGCGAGTAGGCGCCAACATTCCCGTGCCAGTATCATGGACTACCTTCGAGCCACTCTTCAAAGCCGAGTATGTGCCCGATCATTACGTCGAGGCCAAATATGAGGAATTCTCCAATTTCACTCAGGGGAAGTTGACTCTCCCCGAGTACCGTCAGCAATTTGACGGATTGGCCGAGTTTGGTAAAGACTTGGTCAACACCATGGAGAAGCGCTGCAAGAAGTTCATCAAGGGTATGAGACCAGACCCGTCGTCAACACTCATAATTGCTCCTCGAGCCGACATCAACGATGTCTATAAGAAAGCTCTTGAGCTGAACGAGGAGCTCATCAGGAAAGCTGCGTATGAGCAGGCACTTCTGGAAGAAAGTCGGACCGTCCAATCGGGCCCGAAGATGGGACATGGTAGAAAAAGGACCTTCTCCGCACCGAGCAACTCTCGCCATGACAAGCGAGCGAAATCTACTCCCTCTGCATCTGTGGCTGTCACTAGTAAGAACGGGAAAGAGAAAGTGGCATACCGTAGACCTGGATGCCCACACTGTGGTCGCAGGCATGCTGGGGAGTGTTGGCTCACACAGGGTCTTTGCCTCGGGTGCGGTCAGTCAGGTCATTTTCGAAAAGATTGCCCGACGAACCCAGGCGAGGTCTTCTCCACAGCACCAGGCACACCGGGTGTTTCTACTATTTGACGGGCCGAGCCTACCCAAAGTTATCGTTCCACGGCCGCGTCTAACCAACCAAAGAAGCCAGCAACCAGTCAGCAGCAAGGACGAGCACCAGCTCGTACGTATGCCATGCAAGGGCGTACAGATCCGCAGGCTAATGATGTCATCATGGGTATGTTCACTTTATTTGATATCATTGTATCTGCATTAATTGACCCTGGATCTACCTTATCATACATATGTGTACCTATGCCTGTTACATCTGACATCACTAAGGAAACTCTTGAGCATCCAGTAGTTGTGTCGAACCCACTGGGACACAGTCTACGTTATCAACATGGTTATAATCAATGTCCCTTGATGGCTCAAGGAAAGATATTCTTAGCCAATCTCATTGAACTCCCTCACAAGGAGTTTGACGTTATACTTGGCATGGACTGGTTGACAAAACACCAGGCTATTGTTGAGTGCCAGGAACGAGTGGTGAAACTTCGAACAGACGATGGTAACGAAGTAATCATTTGGGGAGAACTTCTCCCTAAAGCTCCAGAATTCATCTCTTATATGCAAGCAAAACGGCTCATTCGCAGGAAATACGAAGCATTCTTGTGCACTGTTAAGGATATACGGAAGGAAACACTTAACCATAAGGACATATATGTGGTTTGTGACTTTCCTGATGTATTTTCTAAGGAACTTCCAGGTCTACCTCCTTCAAGGGATGTAGAATTCTCTATTGATCTTGTACCTGGTACAGGACCCATCTCAGCATCACCTTATCGAATGCCCCCTGCAGAAATGAAGGAATTGAAAGCTCAATTGCAAGAGTTGTTAGATAAGGGTTTCATCCGTCCTAGTGTTTCCCCGTGGGGAGCACCTGTCCTCTTCGTCCGCAAGAAAGATGGATCAATGAGATTATGCATTGATTATCGTCAGCTGAACAAAGTGACGATCAAGAACCATTATCCTTTACCCCGTATTGACGATCTGTTTGATCAATTACGAGGTGCGACTGTTTTCTCAAAGATCGATCTCAGATCAGGTTACCATCAGATTCCTGTAAAACCAGAAGACATTCCAAAAACAGCGTTTCGTACACGTTACGGGCATTATGAGTTTACCGTTATGCCCGTTGGCTTAACGAACGCACCAGCTGTATTCACGGATCTCATGAATAGCGTTTTCAGACAGTACTTGGATCAATTTGTTGTGGTCTTCATCGATGATATTTTGGTCTACTCAAAAACACTAGAGGATCATGCTGAACATTTACGCATTGTGCTGAGTATTTTGAGAGAGCATAAACTCTATGCCAAACTTTCTAAATGTGAATTTTGGCTGAATGAGGTCACTTTTCTCGGTCACGTGATTTCTGCAGAAGGAGTCAAAGTTGACCCATGCAAAATTTCAGCAATCACTGAATGGAAAACTCCACGCAATACCCGCGAGGTACGGAGTTTCCTTGGACTCACTGGTTATTATCGTCGCTTTGTGAAGGATTTCTCTCGAATCGCTACACCACTTTATAAACTGATGAAGAAGGATGTCAAGTTTGCTTGGACAGAAGCTTGTCAGAAAAGCTTTGAACAGTTGAAAGAATGTTTGACTCAGGCACCTGTGTTAGTTCAACCGACACCTGGTATTGAGTACATAGTTTTCAGCGATGCATCACATCAGGGACTTGGGTGTGTACTGATGCAGGAAGGCAAGGTCATAGCTTATGCATCACGACAGCTGAAACCCCATGAATGCAATTATCCGACTCATGACTTGGAGTTAGCAGCCGTTATTCTTGCATTGAAATTTGGAGACATTACTTATACGGCGAGACGACTCGCATCTTCACTGACCATAAGAGTTTACAGTATTTGAAGAGCCAGAAGGAGTTAAACCTTCGACAGAGAAGGTGGCTAGAGTTGATTAAGGACTATGACTGTCACATCGCTTATCATCCTGGTAAAGCGAATGTGGTGGCCGATGCTCTTAGTCGTAAGACTCTTGCTGAACTCCTCATACGACCTACGTTGGATCAAGATATCATTTCAGCACAACATCAGGATACCTTTTGTCTCGAGACACGTGAGCTTGTTTCCAAGGGAGAGAAACAAGACTTCTCTGTTCGAGATAATGGCACATTATAATATCGAGATCGTTTGGTAGTACCATCAGGTGATGTGAGAGATCGCTTATTGCGTGAAGCTCACGGAACCGTGTATACCATGCATCCCGGAAGTAACAAAATGTTTCAAGATCTGAAGAAACACTATTGGTGGTCAGCTATGAAAAGGGAGATTACCGAATTCACATCGAGGTGTATGACTTATCAGCAAGTCAAAGCCGAACATCAGGTACCTACGGGACTTCTGCAGCAGATCACTATTCCTGATGTTAGAATAAGTGACCAACGCTAGAGGGGGGTGAATAGCGTTTGATCATAGAAATCGCAGGAATAAAAAATTAAGAGCGTGAAAAGTAAAGAGTGTAGAAAGCGTAAAGGGAGCACACCAAGATTTATACTGGTTCACCACAACGTGTGGCTAATCCAGTCTCCCGAGAGACTCTCTCGAGCTACACTACTTCCGTTAAGCTTACGGGTGCTTAACAAACCGTTACAACCTGAGAACTCGCGTCCCACGAGCCTCAACAACCTTGCTCGGAGATACCGCACTCCAAGACTTCAACCCGAAGGAAAATACCTTTCCTTCGTACAACCAAGGGAAACAAGCTTCCCTTAACGTGTATACAACACTAAGACACTCAAGAAAAAGACTCTCCTTAAGAGTGGATATGAGTAAAATATATACGCTCAAGAACAACTCAAACTTCACACAAATTGGCTCTAGAAAGCTATGGAAAATAATGTGATTTGGATGCAATGATAATATGAATATTGTGAAGTGAATTGGTGAGAAAAGCAGACCCAAACACCCCTTTTTATAGTGCCAAAATAGGCTCCAACGGACCAATGCATTAAAGGGGTGATTGGCTTGATTTATGGGATTGAAAAGATTTGGGATCTGCAGAATATTGGCTTCCCATCGATTTTTAGGACTTACCCATCGATGGTAAGCCAATTTTCCTTCAGTTTTGAAGTCAACGGTCACCTACCCATCGATGGGTACAAGCTTCCCATCGCTGGGTGGGAGGTTGACTTCCAAACAAGGAAAGAATCAACCTTTAATGACCACCAACGGTCATGCCTTCCCATCGATGGTATACCCTTACCACCGCTGGGTTCCCATCGATGGGATAGGTTTCCCATCGCTGGGCAAGGTCGTTCTGCCTTGTGATAATTTTGCACCAAGGCTTGAACAGCGATGGGTAGAACTTCCCATCGCTGTTTGGCATGGTTCTGGAAATTGGTTTGGCTAAGGGACCGCTTACCCATCGATGGGAAGATCTTCCCATCGCTGGGTGGGTAGTTAGTCAAGAACCCATGGTTTTTGGCTTAACCACAGCCTAGCCAACCGGTGCAAAAACCGACCGAAACATTCAAAGTTCTCCAAAATAAAAACCAAGTGCTTAAAACACTTATTTGATGTATTTGGCTAAGAAATCAAGTAAGACACTTTAAAAACCACGTCATTTGAGTGAAAAACCATGGCTAGCCAAGTTTATGCCGTTTTGAATGATTTTTGTCAAACGACCAAAAGCGAAAGATGGTTTTCAAGGTGTTTTTGTTGGAGAACCGTTTAAACATGCCAAAGAGTGAAAACCGATAATAAAAAGTTGAAAACCACTTGGTTGGTTCGGACGCCAAAAACCAACGGCAATAACCGAGAGCCGATCGCCGGTTTCTGCAACCCGAACGCCGGATGGCTTGGTTTTTGGTTTGGGCGAATACCAAGTGTTTTTAATGACTTAAAAAAGTTTGAAAAACATTTTTTAAGATTTAAGAAATGAAATGAAGGATTTTAGCCTAAAGAGCCAAGGTGTAAAGATTAAGTCGGTCTTGATCACAATGAAGACCGACTCAACGACACTAAGACTAAGGTCTTCGTTCTTGGTCTTCTTTTAGCTCTTGTTCTTGCCTTCCTTCTTCGCCTTGTATATTCAATGTTTGACTTGATCACGGCGGTTTGGCATTATCAAAACCTGTTAAAAAAACGAACACGGCTTTAGTACGAAAACGTGACAAGCCCGTGTTTCAACAATTTCCCCCTTTTTGATAATGGCAAACGAGATGAGGTTATGCATATGAGGAAGACTTAGAGACTTAAAAAATGTTCCCCCTTAATAGTTGCCATTTTATTTTAAAAAAACAATTCCCCCTCAATTTATGCATAACCTTGATATCTTCCCCCTTTTGACATTAACAAAAAGAATTAAAAGTAAACTTTAGATTTTAAAAGTGAACTTTTATTTCTTTAAAAAAAGGAAATGTGGAATACAACGGAATGGAAATAAAAAAGACAATCATAGTAAGGAAGGAAAAGAAAGAAGAGTCTAGGCTGCGGCGTCCTCGTCATCGTCTTCTTCGTCGTCCTCGATGTCCATGGCATCCCCGTCGACCGCGTCGTCAAAGTCGGCCTCGTCGGGGGAGGAGGACGGAGCATAGGAGTCATCTTCCTCGTCCTCGCCTTCATAGTTTTGGCGGAGGAAGGTGCTGTCAAAGGGCGGCGTGACGTAGTTGATGCCGCGGAAGTACGCCATCATGTCGTGGCGTTGGCGTTGCAGCGTCCAGTCCATCCGCTCCAGGTATTGGCCCATGCCATCCACGGTGATGGTTAGCCGATTCAAGGTATCGGCTATGGACGGTAAGGACGCCTTGGCAGGAGCGGGGGCTGGAGCCCGACTTGGTCCTGCGCCGGTTCTGTCACCGGACTTCTTCCGGAAGGTGCTGTCTTGGATGATCCACAGCTTTGTCATCTTCGTGTCAGGCCCGGCGATGTGGATGTCGGCGGAGACGATGAGGTCCATGACGAGGAAGGCGTATGGCAAGCTTCGCTCGGTGGTGATGGAGGCGCAATCCGTCATGTGAATCATGACAAATTTAGCCCAGTTGATGGAGGCGCCGTGGATGATGGCGTGGATCGCCTTCAAGTCCTCGTTGAAAAGCGAGGTATGGCTGCTATCCTGGGGGCGTAGAATCCGGGTGATGATGTAGAGGAGGAGGCGCTTGTCTGGTGGGGCCGAGTGAATCGTCGGCGCGCCGCTGTGGCGGATCAAGTTGGTGATCCCAAGCTCGCGAATGACAACCGCCTCGTTGTTGAGGATCTAGTCGTCGCCACCGTACGACGCTATGTCGGCACCGCGGGTAGGCAGCTCTGCAACCCGAGCGAAGGTAGCCAAGTCAATCTCTATGTCGTAGAGATTGATGCTACTGCGAATGACGTCCCCGTCCCGGTGGAGATTGGAGTAGAAAGCCCGGACATAGGCGGGATTGAAGGCGTTGCGACTCTTGGAGACGAAGGGCCACAAACCCGACTCCTTGAGTTGATTGTTAAGGTCGTGGTACCCCTTTTGTTGAGGAAACAGCTCAGGGAGCACGCGGGGCGGAGAGATCGAACGCTTGGCGAAGTATGTGAGAAACCGGGTGAGTTCCTCCTCCGACCCGAACTCCAAGAAAGATTCATCTAGGTAGGGGAACAGCGGGGGCGCTGAGGTCGTAGCTTCGGCGTTGCCCTTCTTCTTGGAAGCCTTTGTCTTCTTTCCTCTGGCCATGATTGTGTTTATGAAGAACAAATAATATAATTTGATTAGGAGATTGAATTTGGGTTGTGAATTTGTGATTAGGAATGGTAAAACAAGGTGTGTATATATAGGGAAGGAGTGGAAACCGAAATAAGTTCAAAAAATATGATTGTTGGGCATTAAATTTGTTGCCCAACGGTCAAAAAATTTTGAATTGCAGAAGGCTTCCCAGCGATGGGTAAGAGTTCCCATCGATGGGAAGGGTGACACTGGAAAGCGAAGGAGAGAACAAGGCTGCCTTCCCAGCGATGGTAGAACTTACCCATCGATGGGAAGGTGGCTACTGGAAATCCGATAAAATGCTTTAAAAAAATAGTGTCAAACACCCAGCGATGGGAGAAAGTTCCCATCGATGGGCGTGGAGGTTCTAGAAAAAAATATTTTTGACAAAAGTCCTTCACCCAGCAATGGGATGAGATACCCATCGATGGGTAAGGTGTTTCTGGAAATCCGTTAAAGGTTTTTAAAAAAAATAGAGTCAATTACCCATCGATTGGAAGACGCACCCATCGATGGGAAGAGGGGTTCTGAAAAAATAACACTTCCCTCCCAGCGATGGTACAATCCACCCATCGCTGGTTCCCCCTGATTTCCAGAATTCTTCACTTCGAACCGTCCCTGCAAAAAAAACAACACTTTGGTACCCAAAGTATGTCTATGGGTCCTTGGGGGTTAGTTAACCTTTATTGCCCACGCACACACCCAAAATTTGTTTCCTTACAGGCACACACACACACACGATTAGATGATCGCTTAGGAGTTACCTTGGCCAACTCGTCGTCTCGTGGTTGGCGGGTTCCAGTCTACCTGAACGGAGTGCCGATATCTCGGTGTGGTCTGTGTTGGTTCCGGTAACGGGATGTGGACTTTCTTCTTTTCCTCAAAGTAGAAGAAATAATAAGGTTTCTTTTGTGCATTATCCTGTGGAGATTGTTTATGATTCGAATATCCTTTTCCAAAGGATTTCTTTTCGTTAGCATCAAATATGTTGTGTGTTTCATTGTAGGTGGAGTGCCTATGTCTGGTAAAACACACGGGAGCTATATGTCCTACCCTATTGCAATAATGGCATACTACGTTTGGGTTGGACATATGCCTAGGTTGATAATAGCTAGGGGGTCTAACCATTTTCATCCTATTTTGAGAAAAGGATGGTTTATGCACGTTTTCAAAAGAATCATTTCTAGGTGTCATGTTATTTCTCCTATTTTGAGAAAAATTGTTATTATGCACAAAATTATTTTTCTTAGGTTGTCTACCATGAACATTTTCATTCCTAGGTTTTAGTCTAGGTTGTCTAGTGTCCTTAGGTTGACTAGGTTTTCTATTATCCTGATTTTTAGGTTTCTTACGTTGAACCTTAGATGGTTGTCTAGGTGGTGGCTCAACGTTTTCTTTAGCGGCATTTTTATTGAAACCTATTCCTTCCTTAGAAAAATGCATGGTGTCAAGGAGCAAATTTAAATCTTTGTGTGGAGTATTAACTTTCTTGACCGTACTCTCAAGTTTGGTGACTTGTTCCTCTAAAGCTTTGCAAGATTCACATTCATTTGAGGAACTTTCTGGTTTGTCGGCGCTTCTTTTGCCATAAAATTTATTCTCTTGTTTTAACTTCTCATTATCTTTTTCCAGATTTTCAAAATCATTTTCAAGAGTGGAGAGGCGTTTCTTTAACGATTTGTTGATTTTAGAAGCGCTAACAAATTCATCATAAAGTTCATGAAGTGCTTCTTGCATTTCTTCAAAGGTGTAAGAGTCGGAAGAAATGGTACATACCTCTTGTACATCGTCGGTTTGGTCTTCGTGCGCCATGAGACAGAGGTTGGCAGTTTCATCCTCGTCTTGATCGGTTGACTCGTCGCCGGAGTCGCCACCCCAAGAGATATATGCCCTTTGCCTTTTGAAGTGCCGAGAATTCCTTCCGCTTTTCGGGCATTTGTTCTTGATGTGCCCGGCTTCACCACATCCATAGCACACAGGGCCAT